CAAAAAATCTGTTTCTTAGAGTAGTTTTTGAGTAAACTTTGATATACACTTTTTCTATTTTTGTAAAATTGAGATCGACAGAAAGAGTGTGAATGTTATTTTTGTATATTATATTAAATATATTAAAATATATAAATAGCAATATTTTAAATAAAATAAAAGTGATCAGATTATCAATCATCTAAGTGGTAGGTTGGGTGTTTAAATTCTATTGATAGTAAAAATTTGGATAATCATCTATGTAATATTCATATTATAGCAACTGTTACTAATGATTAAGTTAGGATATCTGTAATAGCAGTCACACCAGCATGACTAGCAAGTTATGGGGCATTTATATAACAGTTATATGACATTGTCTTTTGGAACAAAGTCTGTAATTATATAAAGAAATACAAACTGGTAATCAGGCAGTGCAAGTACTAAATAAGTTCTTGTAGTTGTATAAATTTGTTAAAATTAGGTAACAAGAAGTCTATTTAGAAAGACCTAAGTAGAGAGATAGCTAGATCTTTGATGGCTTTAATGTAAAGGCTAGCTTGAAGAAATGAATATCAAGATTGTAGTATCCAGTTATAGTAGCTATACAAACAAGAACCTCTAAGTTGAGGGTCTCAAAGATATCACCAACCAGGCTACTAAAATAAATCAAAAGAAAAAAATATTAGGCCAATCTAATATACCAATGAACTAGTTATAGTTCTACATAGGCTATCTGAATTGAAAGTTTGGTAAAAAGGCAAGTAAAAAGATAGGATATACTAAAGTACTGAAGTTATGCTGTGAAGTAGATACTGGAGTTTAAGTAAACTTTATAAGAGCATAGCAGTTTAATGATTAAGTCTTAATCACAAGTATTGGTTCTGCTATAGTGATATTTAGATTAGCTATAAAAATAGGTACAGAAGACTCTGAGAGGTTTATCTTAAGAATAAAATAGTTCTAAGGTTGAGACAATAATTTGGGCATCAGGTATGATCTAGTAAAGTTAACAGATTTGCAAATTCAGAGGGTTTAAAGTAGAATCCTCAAACAGAGGTATTAGATATAGCAATTAGTAGAAAACCTTTAGATGAACTTCTTAAATAGTTAATATAGAAAAGTTACATGTGTAGCCAATTGTATGCTCTTCCTATAGTGGTTCACTGAACCACATTTATCATTGTTAAATAAAGTCAAAAGACCTAAGAGGTTACCTTAAAAAAAAATAAATAAAATAAAATAAATTTATCAATAAAAATTATTTTGTAATTTTCAAAATATTTTAAAATTATTTTGAAATTTTTTAATTATTTTGAAAAATTTTTGAATATTTTAAAATATTTTAATATTTTTTTGATATTTTCAAAATAATTTGAATATATTTTAAATATTTCAAATTATTTTTTAAATATATTTTTATTTTTTTAGTCTTATTAATTTTTAAATTTTTTGTAAAATAACTAAAATTATTTTATTTTTTTTACAATATTACAAAAATATTTTATTTCAAAATAATTTTTAGTTAATTGCAGTTATTTTGAAAGATTTTTGATATGCAAAATCTTTTACAATATTTTGCATATTTTTGTTTTTTTTTTTTCTTCTAAGGCTATAGTTATCAACAGTTATTGCTTTTATTGTATTTTAATTATGATTATATAACTTGTACAAGGTGAGTATACAACTAGTCACACATACAACTTTTGGTTGTTTATTTTAAGTAGTCTGCCTGCATAGCAGGTTCTATACTAGTTGTCATACCTGCAATCTACTAAAAGATTACCTATTTAAATGCTCTGATCCTTATACTTATACTGACAAATAGTGCACAAGTTCCTGTATATCTAAGTGCCATCTAACCTAACTGTAACCTTCCTGTTTGTACATCTGTTAAGCTGTTACATATTTCAAAGTACAACATCTAACTGTAGAACTCCAGAGGGCCTTTCTGCTAACTAACTACCTACATTTAGTTTCTTATTAATAGGGCTTATTTTTGCAAAGTTTACTCAAACTTCAGCACCAATTTTATAGCAGCAAGAAGGGTTGGCATACTTTTTTTATACATCTTTATACACCCTTTTTTACCAGTCATAATAACAAAAATATAACACTATCATCAGTGTTGTGATAACAGAAATTTGATACCATCATCATTCAAGTATTAACAGAGATGCAATGTCGTCATCATATGTTGTAGCAGATTTTTATCATTGGCCTATATGTAAACTATTGAATGCCAGGTTGGCCTCATCACAAGTTTGATAAGCTAAATTTTATATATTATTTGTAAAACAAATAGCAAAACTATATATTATCGGGTATATTACATATATGCTATCTAGCCAAGTTATATACATGCTATCAGATATGCATTGTATAATTGCTATTGTATAATTATGATCATTTTACATCTTGTGATTTTATGCTTTTTTAGCTATACTTAAATACTTTTATACTATACAATTTTCATTGTAGCCAAATTTTTATTTTAGTCATTATAGATAAATGCATATAAAATTGGTGTAAAAATTAGGTGTATAATGATAAAAATTTGATTGAAATCAGATATAAAATAGTAGAACATTTGTTATTTGTTTAGTTTTTGAGTATAAAACCTTTTTCTTTATAAATTTGGAAAAAGAAAAATAATAGCTTAAATAATAACTATACATATTTAGCTAATTAGTGACTGCCCAATAGAAAATAAATAATTTTAATTTAAACAAAAGATCTGCAAAAATAATCTTTAATAAAAAACATGCAAAATAATACCTCTATGCCCTAATTGTAGAAAAAATAACTTTAAAAAAACCCAAAACTGAGATAAGCATTTGAATTCAAATCAAGCAAAATCATATTTATCTTAAAATTTATTTATACTAATACAAAATATTATACTAGCTTCAACTTCAATACAAAATACTTCATTACCTGAAAACTGACTCCTATAGATAATCTAATTTTATTTGATAAAAATATACCAATATACTATCCAAATGTATCAAATGTACCAGTAGTTGACTTTTTAACTAGTGATATTTCAGATTCAAAAATTTAATCTAACAGAGAACAAAAAGAGAAAACATTTTTAACAATAGATGAGCTAATAAAATAGTTAACAAAACCAAAAATAAAAAATAATAAAAATATCAGATCAAAACTCATATCAAAAACAGAAAAAGAATAGTTCAATCTAATGGAATTAAATAATAACGAGCCTAGTAATCCAGATTCTCAAGCTTATCATTTTCTAGATTTGGATATAGAAGTGTCTTGGCCAGTTTCATTTCCAGATAATAAAGAGTATCATGAAGTATGACAAAATAGCATTCAGTTTGCAAAAGATATATTTAAAGTAGATGAAGTAGAATATGTATTCTTAACCTAGTTTACAGAAATTGAAAAGCTAAATTTTAAGGCCAGAATGACTAAAGAGCGAGCACAAAAAATATTAAATACAATTAATAATTATAAGTATTTAATAAGAATAAAATTCATTTGAGACGATACAGTAATATTAGTTAAGAAAACAAAAAAAGGCTTTAAAATTATTGACAAATATAAGCCTATTTATAAATCAAAAAAAGCAAGTAGTAAATATATCTAAGGTGATCCAAATGTTATACTTATAAAGAAAACAAAACTGAGATTTTGGCTAAGAATAGATGAAAAATTTCTAGTTAGAGAAGCCAGTATACAATCTGATGTAGAAAGACTTGATAGTAATGCAGTAATCTATGGATTATATTGAATCTAAAAGCCAAACATCAATCAATTAATGCTTATAAAAGATGGAGCACTTAATTGTATAGCTAAATGAGTAATAGAGCATTTTGATCAAGCTAAAAGAGAACATGAACTTACAGAAATTTATTAGCAAAAAAATAAATGATTGGAAGAAAAAAATGCACATTTCAGGTGCTCGAGTATAAGATATAACAGAATTAGAAAAAATTCTCAAGCAACCAATTGAATTACTAGATATCACTCATAGCACTATCTTTAATAGCAAAAAATATTGACTAGGTAAGTATAAAAAAATAGAGATAGTAGTTTATAATGGCCATGCATTTCCTTGAATCCAGCATTTTTCAAGAGACTGAATGGTCAAATATTATAAGAAAGATACTTGAAAAGCTATTAACAATGCTCTTCAAGGTTCTCAAGCAATCTGGCTTATAGAAGTAGAAGATAAAACCTAAACAATATCCTAGTTTGTTATGAAAGATAGCTGTATATTTAAAATATAAAAAAAGCATATAGAAATTATAAAAACATGCAAACAATTAGTTAATAATACAATAGATTGGCAATTTCAGGAAGGAATAATCAATAAAAAAAAAAAATCAATTCTTTTAGAGTCTCTCAAAATAGTTAACTTAGTAGAACAGGTTTTTGGTACAAACTATGCTAGAAGCCAACTTGCCAATGAAATTAATAAATAGCATCTAATATCTAGAAAAATAAATGATATTATAAGACAAGCTTGTGTCAAACATGGGCATAATAAATGCTAGAATGCATCCAGTTAACACATTAATAATGTTGTATATATTAATATAAAAGAATGCTATCTAGCAAATATACGAGGCCAAGAAGAATGTGTACCATAGTTTAATTGATTTGGGCATCTAATACATCATCTTGTCCAAGTTGCAGTAAATGAAAAATTGCTCCAAGATGTTATTACTGGATTTGCACAGATAAATTCTTTTAAGTTCATTTCCAACATATATCTAGTAATTTTAGTTTGGTATAGAAAACATTTTGCATATTATAGTAAAGAAGAATGCATAAAAAATAAAAAATAGGCTCCAATAGTATTGTTACAATATCTTCTTGAAACCAGTATTCTAGAAGACTTAACTATTAGAAAAGCAATTATCTCTCTTACATGGCAAACTAAAGTATAGTTATCAAAAAATTGAAGTATTAGTTATGCAATTATAGGTAAGTTTACACAGAATGGAAAAAATAAAGAAAAACAACTTACTCATCATTTTGTAATAGATGAAGATGTAATTTTTTAATAAAAGATTGTACAGATGCTAAAACTTTTACTAGAAGAGAAAGATGCCTACTCAGATTTATACTTACATATTTTGAGGGCCATCAGCCTTAGTACATACATTTGCAGGCTTCAATGTTAGCATATGCATATATTAATTTGTTAGAGATGCTTTAGAGATTCAATCCTAATGAAGTAGTAAGGATTGCTACAGATTCTATATATGTACAAAAAGAGGCTTTATATAAAATCAAAAATATACTAATATTCTTTAAGCAAGTTGAGATAAAGTCAGATGATGCAGAGCATCGAATCTCTGATTTCCTAAATTTATGTTTATACTATTTTTCTTGTACAATATGTAGCAATTCAGAAGAATTTTTTATTTTAAAATCAAAATATGCAAAATGGATTAAAAAGTTTCTAAAAACAAAAAGGCCTCTAGTAAAATATAAATATAAAAGGTATACTTTATTTGTTTGCAGATTTTGCTTTGAAGAATAGTTTTATAAATCAAATTCTTGTCAGAAACAGTTAAATTAGCAAGAAGAACAAGAAGTTCAAGACATTTAACCTGGTTAATGGCATGATAAGGGTAAAAAAATATATGGACCAGTTGCTGATATTGTATACTGGCCAAAGAATAGGCATTGAAAATCGATTAAAGATATTTCAGATAGTATAGCTCTATCAATTCATGATTCTATTATGTGATATTGAAATTTATATCTTAATAAAAAAGATGGATCTGATAAAATAATATGAGCTATCAAAATTTTTAAAGACATAAACATGGTTATTTTCACTTATACAAATGCATTAGCTAAAAACTTCCAAAATGACTGTAAGATAAAAGCCCAAACTTGGCATAGTTTCTTTAGATGAAATGGTATAAGAGAGTAGACTCTTGAACATATGAAAGAAAAAAAATTACCATAAGTTGTTATATGGAATGAAGTATATACAGTGCCTAAACACATTTTAGAAAAGTTTATTGATTACTTACTAGAGCAAAAATGTCAGATAATTTGTTATAATGATGATGCCTAGCCTCTACTATTCTTTGGAAAAATGCCCCATAGCTGGTTAAAAAAACAAGCTGATTATTACGAGAAAGTCTTAACTAACTATCAGATCAAATGTTCTAAATTATGTGAACTCAAAAAGAGAATACATCATAAAAATAATCTAGTATAATCAAATTTATTTCATAGAGCAATTTCAGTTATAAAAAAATGAAAATATCTCAAAAAGAAATGATCTCTCTCAAAATGAATTCTATCAGCATATTGATTTTCTTGAATACTTGCATCACAAATATGTTTCAAGCTTCATTATACAAAATATCCTGAAATTTCAATTCTATTAATTTATAGGCCAAAAGATGGTGCAAACAAAATTGCCTTGTTCTGATCCCTGGCTTATCTGAAAAAAGAAAGCTAGTGAAAAATGATAAAATACATTTATCCTTAAATACACTTCCTAATAAATTCTTACAAGGCATGTTAGGAAAAGAAAAGGCTATAGATTGGGAACTTGGATATGTAATAACTATTTATACCAGTCAGGAAATAACATTCAAAGCTTTGCAATGCATTTGGATTATTGATAAAAATTTAGTCTAAGATAATTTAATTTATTTTATAGTTAGTTATTTAGAATATTTAAGCCAACTTATTCAGATTGAAGGTTCCTTATTACCTTCTGAGATTGAAGATGCAAAAAATAAGAAAGCTATTAAATGTTTATTGAGACCATTTATTTCTGAAAAACTTGTAGGAAGATAAGAAAAAAAGTTGTGAATTTAACTTATCTGTTAATTATATCTTTGTATTAAAAGATTTGCAAAAAAATAAATGTGAATTATGTTTCAATAAAATGTTGTAGAAATGGAATAAAGCTTAAAATTCTGATCAATGGATATTGAATCAAATTGATAATAAATTAGATTACATTAAAGGAAATGTATATCTTATTTGTCTTGAATACAATCAGAATCATCGAGTCTGACTCACTTAATGAGACCAGAACATTAGCAATTATGTGAGCATAATATGTGATATAAATTTTTTTTGATTAATTATCTTGATATTTTATACCAAATTATTTATTACTACCACTTGCCTTTATTCAAAATATATTTAGAAGGATGCATCAAAGTTATAGTCATTGAATATATAGGATAATGCAAACAAAGAGAAATGTTAATACACTAGATACAAAATTGTGGATAGTTTAAGATAATGTAATAACATATTTATGTAAGAATTATGAAATTTTGGAAAAATAAATATCTAACTAAATCATTCTACTTATTGTAATAAATATATCTATTTTTTGATCAATAGTAAATAAATATAAAAAGTCTTAGTTAATAAAATTCATATATTTGAAATATAAACATGTCTAATATTCAAGATATTTGTAAAGAATAGACAAAAAATAATTATATCTGATACATGTTAACCAAATATGGTTTAAACTATATCAATAATTTTAAAATACCAGAAGCTTGGTTATGATTTGTAAAGTATTATCTACCCAAATATATATGTAGACATTTATTAATATTAAGATATAATATTATTAGTAAGGACCATTGAAAAAACTTTGTATTCTGTATTAAAAATAATCTAACTAAAAATAAATCTATAGCTAATCACTCTAAATTTAAAAAATTTAAAATTTAAATAACATATTTTGTAACTTTATATAAAAAAAAACATGCATCATTAATTATTCAGAAAATATATTCATTAATAAAAAAAATGAATAAATTTAGCTAAAATAATCTAGTATGCAGTAATTAAATAACTCTATAGATCTAATGAAATATTTGTAAAACATGCTCAAGATTAGTATTATTGCAAAGCAATGACCTAAAGGGTTTAGAGACATAGCTTTCTCACTTCATGAGTCAAAATGCTAATAAACTTGAAAATTGAGAATGCTATTATATCTAATTATAAGCTTTATAGAGAAGATATATATAGTATCTTTGATGCATCTAATCTTATATATAGCTACAAAATTAATTATAACTATGAAATTACATTACATTATAATAGGCCTTAGGGAGTTTCAATAAATTGCATATTTTAAAATAAATTAAGATTCTCTAATTTTAATTTTGAAATCCTGGATGTTGTTCTTTGTTTATACAATTTATCATTTGTTCCTAGTTTAATGCAACCATGATGTGTAGCTACTTATTTTTTACTCAAAAGTTCTGTTATATATTTTATTATGCAACTTTGAATTATTAATAAGACATTTCTGATTTACATTTGCAGATTGTAATATGAAAATAATCGATGAGAATTTTTTGCAAATCATGAATAAGAGGTATAAAATTTACCCAATGATGCTTATCTTAGAATAGTATATTTTATTAATATAACCCCATTTTAAAAACATATATGTGAAGCTCGATCTATGATCTGGTATACCAATACTTCTGATAATTTTAAATAAGATTATATATTGTTCTACTTTGTTACCCAGTCTATGATTTTTTGATCTAAGATCTCACCTTTATTTTTTAATGATAAATCAACATTTTTCTAGTAAGTTCAAGTCTTTATATGAAATAATTGATTATATAACTATTAATTTATAAAAAAAAAGATTTTTTCTTTCATATAACTACTTCTACAAAATTAAAAAAAATAAAAAATTACAATATAATTAATAAAAGTTTATACTAATAAAAGCAAATTCATTAAAAATAAAGGTATTTTTACTTGTAATTGAATGTTTATATGTTTTTCATGATTAATTTTCTAATCAAATTTTCTTTTCTTATACTGATACATTCATTTAACATTTCAGAAAATATGTCTTTTATAGCATTAACTACTTTGTTTTTCCTCCTCATAATGATATTCTCCGATTATGCTCTTCTGTGTATAAGGATCTTTGGTATATGTTTCTTTTTGTACCATGTATAAAATCTTACCACAAAGATCAACAAAATCAAAGCTAAAATCAATGATAAACTTATCATAAAAATTAATTCTTGTGATGCCAACTACATGTCAGAAATGCAAAATATTATTACCATAATCAATGATGTGTATAAAAAATATAATACAATCAAACAGGTTCTAAAAACCTATTACAATAATTTTAATCAAATCATTAATGAATTTGAAACAATCAAAAGAACTATCATGATACACCAAAATAAAATCAATCAATAATACTCTCTTATCCAAAGCATGAGCAGAAGAAGATCTGATCAACAAAGTAAAGCATTATCATCATTCATACGATCATTATTTTCTATACAATTATCAAAATCTATAGAATCTGATCAAATTCAATATTCAAATATTAGCTCAACCATCTGAACCTGCTCTAAAGAAGTATTTGATTAAGAAAGAAATGCAAGAAATCTTATCTTTAATGAAATATATAACAAGATAGAGGTATACATCCAAGACCTTGATGATAAAATTAAAACAGCAACAATTAAAAATTTTTATAATAATAATACTAGTTGTAAAAGTTTCACACTTAATGATATAGGTAGATGGTTAGATAACATGAAGTAGCAGGAAGGAACTGCTATCTTATGGTCTAGAGGCCAGCAGGCACTGTCTTTTGTGCTTTATTCCTCCCTTTAAATGTCTGCTACTTCAATATTTATTTTATACTTAACTGGCCTAAGCCATTTTAATATATATCTACAAAATTAATAAAACTTTATCTATAATTTGATTTTTAAATATATTTGTTTGCTAAGAATTAATTTATTTACTGTAGTTCGTTTTGACTTTTACAATATATCCAGTATAGGCGGTTGATCTGTT